TCCCCAATGTGCGTAGCTTTGCACTCAGGTCCAAAACGCGAATTGAATTCTTCCCTGGGTTTAGACTATACCCCCCCAGTCTTTTCTAATTAGGTCCAGCAGCCCTTGTAGCTTCCTGCTAATAGCCGTAATTCAAAGGGAGAAAGTCCCGTGGATACCTGAGTTGACTCCTGCACTGTAAACATCCTTTTGAATGAACTTAAAAATCATGGACTGGAAGTCTTATTCGGCCGTTCCACCACCCTGTCAGTCCTGTACAGCTCCTTTAGTATGCTAGACATGAATAATGTGTCCTAGTCAGTCAGTATCTCTTTCAGAATGCTGACTTGCGAAATTAACTGAAACAGTGCCTGCGCTACACTCTTTGCAGAAATGGTGTGTCGTGGCACTGCTTCGGGATCTTACGTTGCGTAATCCACCGGAATTAATACAAAGCAATATAGACGTGTACTCTGGTGAAATTATATCCGATGTTGTGCATACTGATGCGCTCAAACAGGACGTCCATTAAAGGTAGTAGGTGCAAGGACAGTTTAGGAATGGCTGGCTGGTTCAACAGCTGGCACTCTGGCAGGAAATGCATCCCCTGAATGGCTGAGGTCCTTACACCATCTCTAAGGAGGAAGCCACCCACCCTTGAGAAAAAGCTAATTTCTGCCACCTGTATCCGCAATCCCAAGATTCTTAAATTCCGCCAGTTGGGGTAACAACTTGTCTGTGACCCAGAGTCGGCACTCCACCCCTTTCTGGGGGAGCTATTATTTCATGTCACTGAGCGTTCAAACGTTAAAGTAATTTACCCCAATCAACAGTAACACATGAAACTCGGTCCTACTGAAGAGGAACAACTATATACAAGTATCATTTACTTTTAAGTGGCAGAAAAATTCCAAAAGCAAAATTTCTATGAGCTTAACAAGTATCTGTTAAGGTCATTTATCTACAGTTTGCCAGATAAACTGTAAGTTCTCATTTGTTAAATTAGATATTGGATCTGAATATAATTTGAAGTTTTGCTTTTTGATATTGAGAAACGTCCTGCAAAACGAACTGAATTATACTAACTTTGTGTTTTTCATATGCTAAATGAAAATATTCTTCAGTTTAGTGCAGGACAAACACGTTGGCTCACTGAACTCTAACAGATTTACAGGGAAGCACTGTATTGGACTGGTGCACAGTGCAGTGTTTATATTAAGACTTAAGTTAAATCAACTGTGGTAGAGAATAATTTGAATTTAAGCTCATAATGCTCAGATTCATTCACAGTATAATGTCAGTGTAGTCGTGGATAGAAATAAGCCAGCACAACTCATTAAACATCTTATGTTAAATTCAGGTTTTTAAAACCACAAAAAGTAAACCTCAGAGCACTACAAGCAGAAGCAGGCTAGATGATCACAGACAATACACTAATCTATTCTTAGTGATTTTTGCACAAATGCTCAACAGAAACAATTGTCCAACAACCTTCTAATTAGTTGATGACCTGGCCTAAATGCCTTTTCATCCAGGCCTGCTGGATAGGCCTTTGTGGGTGGACATCATCTAAATAATGTGTGGCAAAATGTTTCTTCTGCCTGTAAATGCTATGTTGAGATAAACTTCAACAACAAATTCAACTTCAAAATCAGCTGAATGATTGTGCTTGCATGTTAAAGCAGTTTTGCTGCATGATTTCAAGTGTCAACTTTTATGAGAAGGCAGTCATTTCGGCAAAAGAAGCAAAATGTTGGCCTTTACCATCTCTAACCTTGAATTAAAAGAATGCTTTTTTTTTTTTTAATTTTCCAACAGCGTTACTGGGAGTGTGCTAGTACCAAAATAATCTGAAAACATTGCAAAATCAATCATTTTTTTGTATTCTTCTATAATTTCATTTGATTGATAAATTTGGCAACCCAAAGTGTCACATTGTTACTTTATGATTCTAAAGACTCAGATTCTCTTTTACACAGGGTTACGTCTCTAAGAGACCTGGTGAGCAGGAAGTACCTACACCTGAAAAAACACCCCCTTCTAAGTGGGGAGGGAAAACAGGCCAAGGATGTGCTCTTCCTTTTCAACGGAATGGAAAAGATGCAACTGGATTTCCGAATTGGAGCCTCAGAGCTTTGCAGTGATCCTAATGAGGGACTACCTCCGAGTGTAGTTGTGGTAAACCTGCTAAGAAAATATCTGTTGCCTGAGGTAAGAAAAAACCAAAAGGGGTTAACTAAAGGTAGTGATTAAACAAAAAATGGCTAAAGCTAATATGTACCCCCACTCCAGGTTTTTGTTTCATTTCAAATCTGACCAGGTTCTTGTCTTTTATTTAAAACTACAAGCAAAATGAATAAAAGTAATATTTAGCAAAAGAGTGAGTTTAGAAAAGTATGCTAATAATGAAAAAAAAAAATTATTTCTTTTTAATATTACACATATTACACTGAACACATGCAGTTTTTAATGCAGTACGTTAGTTAATCCCAGGAGAGATTTGTTCTACTACATTTTACATCCTATGATCATTCTCTTAGTATTTAGGTGTGAACACAAGATAAAGGTAAAAACAAGCGCAAAGCGACTTTAAACCGATTACCAGAGTAATTCTACTTTAGAAACATGAACAGGTAGACACGGAGGCTGCACCCTGACTGTTATGACCTATGCTTGAGATGTTATGTTACTGGCAGCATGTGTCTGTTTGGATTAATCAAACAGTTAGGATTGGAAAATTTGACCAGTCGTGGCCTTAAGTCCAACTTTGACTTAAAAAGTTAATCACTTCTGTCTAGTACTGGAATATAGAAGCGCAGGATTATTGGGCAGAGGATTGTGATTTCAAACCCGTTGAAAATAAAAAATAAAAACACTTCAAATACATCATGTTCTTAAGAAAGTATAACGAGTAATTCAGATCCAGATAGCTTTGTCGTTCCAAATGCCTTGAGGCAACTATTGTGATTTGGCGCTGTATAAATAAAATTTAATTGAACTGAAGTGTGGTGTGAATTTTCAGCCTTGTTTGTTAGATTGTAAGTCCCACTGTTTGTAAATGGCACTTATTGTCTACTTTATATGTTTCACAGGCCAGCATCTTGATTACGACAAGACTGTCTGCTTTGGACTGTATCCCTCAGAAGTATGTTACTCGTTACGCACAGATACGTGGTTTTAATGACCCATCACGCCAGCGGGCGTACTTCACCAGTCGCCTTCTAAAGCAGAGTGACACTGCACATAACCAAGAGGCCCAGGATCTTGTAGAAATGCTTTACCTCAACCTCCAGAGAGAAAGCCAACTTGCTGCTGCATGTTTCCTTCCATCGTACTGCTGGCTCACCTGTGCAACCTTACACTTTCTGCGTTTTACCAATACCAAAGCCCCCATCCGCACTCTAACTGGCATATACACAAGTTTCCTCAGGCTCAATTTTGGGGGTGAAGTGCTCGGTACAGGAGCAGGGACGAACGTGCCCATTCAGGAACGCCAAAGTTCTCTGATGTTATATGTTGTCCGTACAGTAGGTAAGCTTGCATTTGAAGGTGTGACATACAAACGCACATCCTTCTCAGAAGCAGAACTAGAGCAGTGGATAGGAGGGAAGACAAAGACAGATGAGGAGCTTCATCAGCTGGCCATGTTCCGCACCGATGTACTAGACTTCTTTTTGGCTCCTTCCATAGAAAGTGGTAAATCTATATCACAAGACCTAAGGGAAAACAATGAGAGGCAGTATGTGTTTGCTGTCCCAGCCATGCAAGAATACCTGGCAGCACTCTATGTAGTTCTAGGAGAGAACAAATCCGCTCTTGAGAAGCTCACCAAGAAAGTGTCTGTAGCCATTGGTCAGGCAAGTGAGGATGTCAATGCTCTTGTTAACATCTTTTCTAAGTTAATTCCCCTCCGAATTTTTGCAGTATTCAATCTTCTTAAGCTTTTTCCAAAGCTCTATGAGAAAATCAGCAGTCTCAACAAAGGCAGTATAGCCAGAACAATGGCAGCTGAGCAGTTCCACACTGAGGATAGCTACAACGATGATGTCCTTGACCAGGTAGAGCAAAACCTTGTAGGAGTCCATGGCCCAAAGCAACAGCAGGACAGTGAACGTCAAACTTTTGAGCTGTACCCTATCTTCATGGGTGGGCTATTGCACTATGGTAACCGTGTGCTTCTCCAACAACTTGGCTGCAGCATTCAAAGCACCACTGTGGCCCAGATCACCCATGCCATTAGGAAATACCTTGTTAGAGGTAAAAAAAACAAAAAAACGTTCTTTTGTGAAACAAAGTACTTAATCTGCCTACACAGTAATGTTCTGTAATTGCTAAAGCTTTAACAGTTACAAAACTAATATTTATCGTTAGAACTTTACAAAAGTATTAGAAAACAAGAAACAACATAAAACTCAAATTTACTTGTAAACATTTATGTGATATGGGATAAATGAACTCTAAAGATAGAAATTGTGTCTGTAATTGGTGTATGGCAACCCATATTGCATATTTTCATGTAGTATGTGTTCTTTTGATACTAGAGCTTAACAAGCCACAACCACCAGAAGAGCTGATGGATCTGTTGGTCCTTCTATATGAGTTCCAGAACCCCAGACTGACTGCAGAGGTTGTAGCTTCAATCAGAGCTATCCGCCTCACCAACATTCGTATGACTTCACTTAAATGTTTCATACTGAGTTCTGTGCTTTCCTGCACCCCCGCAAGGTAAATTATTATTTGAAGGATTAGAGATTGACTGACTGTGTATGTGTATGTTATGTCAAAAGAGGTGGAAATACATCTTTTACATCCGAGAGATGGTAAAAGAATCAGAATCAGAAAGGGTTTTATTGCCAAATGTTGAGAAGGTATACAACATTAGGAAATTGCTTTGGTACTTAATGTGAAACATACTGTAAAACAAACACTTAAATGAACATAAAAATTCAAAGTAAAAGTGCTAGGCAGATAGATGTATACATAAATACAGGTGAAATGCAGGCAAAAGGTCTCTATTTGTGCTTTTGCTAACAGTAAATAATTTGTGTTGTTAATCAAAGATATCAACCAATGTAAAAGTCTCATTAATATATTAAATGAGACGAGACTTGTGTAATGGAAATTATTATCATATCTGGATTTTATGTGCATAGACATGATCCAACTTCAACCTTGGCAGATTAGCGTCTCTGTGGTTGCAGGAATGTGAAAGACAAAAAATGTGTCACCAACCCATCATTATGCATAATTCCGAATAAGAGAAATGGTATTAAGTGTTGTAATTTGTGACCACAGAAACATAATTCATATGTAATTTTGCTGATAGTTAATTATGGTTAATTGCT